CTTTCTCCACATTTTTTTTCAATCTATATGGAAAACAGATCATTCTTGAGGATGGATTTTATGAAGTACGTGGCTTAAGAATTGGAGGAAGACTCACCAACAAACTGTTAGGTAGATGATACAACCTTGACCACTGAAAATGAGAGCATAGTGTTTGCTGCAGAAGGTCAGTATGGATTGCACTTCAACAAGAAAAAAAAGAGAAAAAAAGATCCTCACCAGTGGGCCAATTAGCAGTATCATGATGATGGATAAAAAATTGAGGTTGTTAACAATTTCATCTTGCTTGAATCCACAATCAACATTCTTGTTATCAGCAGTAAAGAAATCAAAAGATGGGTTGCTTTGGGAAAAATCTATCAAGGACCTCACCAGAATGCTAAAGAGCAACAATATAAGTCTAGAGACTAAAATGTGTGTGATCCAAGCTGTGGTCTTCTCGATTGCTTTCTATGTATCTGAGAGCTGAAGACAGCAGAAGAGAAGCCTTGAGTTGTGGTGTTGAAGAGTGCTGAATCTACTATGGACTGCCAAGAAAACAAAAAAGTCTGTCCTGGAGAGGGTGAAATAGTTTGCTCCTTGGAGGCAAGAATTTTTAAGCTCCATCTCCTATATTTTAGGCACGTTGCCAGGAAGGACCAGTCATATCAGAAGGACAGCAAGTTTGGAAGAGTAGAGGGTCATCATAGGAGAAGTCAGTGAATAGGATGGATTGACACATGATGATGACAATGGGGTCAGTTGTGTCTGAGATGGAGAGTTTGTCTCAGGATAGGGCAAGGTTTGGAGCCATTGTTCACAGGGTAGCCACAAGTCATGATTGACTCTATGGCCCATAGCAAGAAACAGAACTCCCAATTTTGTTGGCTACATTATGAAATACAGCTGGCAGTAACGTATATTGAGATGTGAGGTGAAGGTAAATTCAGCTGTGACGTTTGAGGTTATATGTCCTCTTCACTGGGCTATTAGTCTCATTGGTTTGGTAGTTATGTAATGATGTAATCTAGTAGGTACATAATGATAACATAATTTTCATATAATTTATATATATGTACATATATGTGTGTATACACACACACACACACACACACACACACATATATAAAATGACTTGGTGTTTAGAACCCAACCAGGTCATTAAGTGATAAATGCTTTACCCTTCTTGTAACTGCAATAAAGTTTGACCAAAGTTGAAGACAATAATGATAGTTTTCTGGAGTTTCTTCTGTACTAATATTCTCCAACTTTCACTTGACTATGTGTGCAATCATATCTCCTTAGGTATTGTTAACAGAGTGCTTACTGAGGCCATCAGAAGAAAAGTTCTTATCCACCCCTGTCCCCATTGACTGGTGTTGGGCAGTCTGCTGGGCTACAAGAAAACCCAACAGGATAACACTCATTAAAGGAGGCTTTAAAAAAAAAAAAGAAGCAGCTGGTGGATTCGAACTGCCAGAGAGGCGCTACCATGGGCTAGCAGCATAACAGCCTTCTAACTGTGCTTCCAAGAGCTTCCTCAGAAGGAGAAAGTGTTAGCATGTTTAGGCAATGAGGAATTTAGGAGGCAAATGTACTCGTCTAAAAATTGATAAGGTATAATGCATTAGTTATTAGTATTGGCAGAGCAGAATCACAGAACTGTATTTTTAGTTCTTGTAATATCAATAAAAACTAAGAGTATTAACTTAAAAACTCTTTCATGTCTTAACAGCATTGCAAAGACACCAAATTCTTTTTTTTAATTTAGTATTAATTTCAGTGAAAATTTAGAGACTTTGGATTTCCATTCATTCATTGTTGCACTTTTCTCCCCTCCCAACCCTCCCCCCTAGCACACTACCCTCTTGGAAAAGTAAAAAACAAATTCTTTCATTGTTTTACAAACCCTCCCCCAGGTCCACTCCACCATGTAGCCTTCGCTCTGGACTCCTGTCATGACAAAATTACCTGGTCACATATCCCTTTTAAACAGTTTTCTCCCTCATCTGTTTCAATGCAGTATACATTATTGAACCCATCATTCTCAGTCTCCCCCCAACCCCGAGGTCAGTCCTGTTTTACAACAGTGGCGCCATGCAGTATTTGTCCTTTTTGTGACTGAGATA